TTATAAAAAAGCAGAGTTCTGGAAGAGTTATTTTTGGCTTATGGTTTCAGGAGGAAGGAGTCCATAATGTCAAGAGGCAGCTAGAGTATGGATATGGAAACATCTTCAAATGAGTGCAGAGAGCATACAGAATAAACTGGAACTGAAGCAAACTTAAACCTCTCAAGGCCACCCTGAGCACTTTCTCCAACAAGTCCCCACATTCTAAATATTCCATAATCTCCCCATATTGCCACCAACTAGGGTGCAAGAGTTCAAATATCTATGAAAGACATTCTTCATTCAAAATAATACAAATATAGAGAGGGAAAGGGCTCAAGGGAGAAAAAAATACAAACAAATGCCAATTCAACCCAACCCAAACAAACAAAGCAACCAACCAAAACAAACAAACAAAACCTTGCCAGAGTTGGGAACACTGAGAATGCCAAGAAGAATGGAAATCATGAATGCTTGCTGTAGGTTTAAAGGAAATAGTAACCCTGTCTCCCAACCTGTCCCTTCCTGTGTGGGAACCGTATTCTCTAGCTCAGCAATTAGTCTTCCATTAGAGTCAGGTGTGAGTTGTGGCCTTGAGCAATTAGACAGAATGAGATGGAGCTGTGCTTTGTTCACGAGACCCCACTGTCAGAGTGTGGCTACCTTGATGTCTAATTTCAAAACCTCCCAACATCTTCAGCTTACAAACATTGCTCTGAGTGTCTGACTTATTTCTAGACCCTGAAAATGAGCATGGGTTATGGCTTTCTCAGTTATCAATACCACACACTTTTTCATCTTTCCCCTTTCCCATATCTCACCCCAGATACTCCTTTACAAACTTAACCAAAATACCATAAGTACATCCATAGTTTATTCTGTCACATTAAGCATATGCTAAGAAGAGAGAGAGCCAACTTAAACATTTGTAATCTCTAAAATGTTGTTTCTTTTAAACTTGAGACTCATAAAAAGGATATTTAAATGAAACTGCAATTAGAAAGGTTAATGTGATTAAGAATAAAGTGATTCTTAAATATGCTAATATATCTAAAATGTGTAAGGAAGATAGAACTGAAGGATGACAAGTATATTCAAAGTGGTAAGTTCCGTGGAGTAGAGGTATAAAATGTCCAGGAACAATGTTTCTCATAGCCTTTATTTAAAGCCTAAAATAAAAATGGTCAGCTGTTGACAATCCAGCAGGCAGGTTGTGGAGAGAGCAAGCAACCACAGTGAAAAAGCATGAGGCTTTCCTCTGCCTCTTCTCACAGAGTCTCTGCCCTCTTGACGTAGAAATATTACCTGAAATCTGGCCTCCTTTGATATGTCTGATTCTAGTACATTTCACTTATAATCAGCTATGAAGTTTGTCAGTGTTGTCAGAGTTAAGCCCTTATGTTGAATGTGAATGCAACATAGTAAAAGTCAAACTGGTTCAAGTCCCAAATGCAGACTTAAGGTTCTGCTCTGGCATGAACTATAATTGCTTAACTTCTCTCTATCTTGTTTCCTAACTAGGTATCTTTATGGGAAATTGAATACTGATAGAGGTTTCACCGAAGAGAAGCCTCACTTGGCCTTGGCTGGTGCCCTTGTCCAGTGTGTACTGTCTTTACCTCTGGATGGCCACCCCACTATCTGAACACCCCAGGGTATTTTTCAGTACCTCATAGGACCATAGTCTCTTCAGCCTGTCTTGATAAAGGGTGTAGTGCAGTGGACAGATCGTCAATGGCTCCCAGACTGTGAAACTCCTTCCTTTCTTTTGCTTGAAATATGTACTAGGGTGAGATAAGTGTTAGTTTTTTTTATGTCTTAGTAATTAGTTAAATATTAACATAAGTGCCCAAAATAGGCTGTGAAGGGCAGTAAATTGTTTTTAAACCACCAAGATATGTCAACTCATCACTGTTAAATATAGTCACAAATAAATTCTCAGTGTTGCTAAGCAGCAATAGCTATATATAATGCAATATTTTCCTTTGCTTTTAGAGCATAGAACAGGAATCCCTGAAGTCATCATAGGAATATGTATATGGAAGTGTAGATCATGTTACTCCTTATTATAACTTCTCTCCGAAACCTCAACCCAATAGGACAATGAAACTCCTCCCTAGTATCTTCAGTATACCAAGATGTGTGGTCCGGGATTATCACTGTCATCTTCAGGAAAGTCTACCACAGCAAGAGGTTCAGTAAGTACAACAGTAGAAGTTGACAAACCAAACCTGAGGTACTCCCCATGTGTGACCCTGAGGTAGCTATTTAGCATATGGCATTTTCAGATTCCGAGAAAAGATAATAAACATGACGTGGGATCACCAGAAGACTAGAGAATGTGGACACGAACACTTCTTACCCAAGAACTGATATTTATAATATTTACCCTGTGCAGTGTTTGCTTAAAGAGGTGTTTCATTTCTGTATGTGTCTTAAATTCTCTATAGTGCACCTTCAAAAGCACAAAATCTATCTGTAGTACTTCTGAATATTTCCTATTCAGTATACCAGATGCTAAATCTGTGTAAAACTAAGTTTCACAACCCTAAAAGCAGAAGTGCCTTGAAAGCCCCCAGTATAGCCAAACAAGAAGAAATGGGGTGGTGCTTTTGTTAGTTGGTTGACTTGGGTAGATTTGAGAGTTATAGTGTTTTGTGATTTTTCTTTCTTCTAAAGAGACATACAATATTACTTTGTAGGTTAAGATGGCCTCAAACTCACAATCTTACTGCCATTGTCTCCCCAGGTGTGTTCCCCATGGCAAACAAGATTATGTTTTAATTGCAAAACTATAAATGAAAGTTAAACTAGTATCAAAAATAAGGAGAAGAATGGTTAAGAGTTTTGAGGTGGCTGGTTTGGAGGGTGTGGGTGTCTCTAGAATGAGTTAATAAAATGAAATGAGGTAGGATAGTGGGCTGCCTGGGAGGAGCAGCTTCACAAATAGTGACAGATCTTCTGGAATCCAGGATGAGTCTGAGAAGAACATCTTCAGAGGCTACACAGAGGTCACAGAAATTGGGACTCGTGAAAAGGCTAGAGAGAGCAGGAGGGGCTGCAGAACCTGAGCTGGGCTCTGCAAGCTCCATGTGGTACAGCATCACCCCAAAGTAAGAAAACACAGAAGGTGCCAAGCCTTAGTTTCCAAGAACAGGCAGTGAGTTAGCTCTGGCCTAGAAGCAGCACTATTTTAAGAAAAATACCCACGTAAGTATAAAAATAATCATCTTTATTTTTTGAGATATATCAGCTTTGTATTAAGGGCAGATAATGTTATATCTCAACAAATAAATATGTCAGCAGCCTAGATTTACGAAACCAGTAATGACCACAAGGGCAATCTAACATGCCATGCTAGTGTACTGTCTACAAAGATTATTTTTAATATCTCTAAAGGACAAAGAAGAAAAAGAAAGTTGGGAGTATCTGCCTGGAAAACGGCTGCTCTTTCTGATGAGCAGAAAATATACTAATATGATGTTAAGAGACATATGGTTACTAGAATAACTTAGTGTTTTCAATCCACCAAAGCCCCTGGGAGTCAAGAGACCATTCTTAATCTTGAACAAAAAACTTATTCTATGACTTTGATTGCCCAAGGCTAAGAAGCTAGAGAAAGAAACAGGCCCTGAATGTGAAGCCATGGATTCCATCTTTTTGTCTACATGCACTGAGAGTATGACCATCGACTAAACGCAAGTTCCTATCCATGTCCCCACACACAAACACTGCACCCTAAAGTGACTTTGGGGAGATGCTAACTCTGGAGCTGAACTACCCCAACCTTTTACATGAATTTCAGTTAGACCCAGAAGATTACAGATTTAGCATAAGTCAAATGGTCATAATCTGCTGGTAGACAGATGCCCATGTATATTCCAACATCTTTGCATCTTTAAATTTTATCCCTAAGACCTTTAAGATGGATAAAGTTCATGTAGCTTATATAAACATTTTAATATGGGTTGTTCTATTTTTTTTTAAAGATCTAAATGCCATAGTCTGGGATTTGTCTCTCTTTAACTTTCTCTATTTAACTGAAGAGGCAGCAGCTCTGCAGATCAGCCCTCTACCAACACCAAATGATGCTGCCTCCAAAGGAGGCAGACAACACCTCCTGGGAAATACTTATCTATTGCTTCAATCAATTTGAGTGGCAGAAGGGGGTCCAAACCGACTAGTGAGCCATTCCATCTATGAACTTAGAAACACCAGGCTCTTCATAAGACATTTACTATGTAGACTTTGTCTGATGAAATCCAGAATCTTAGTTACCGCTTCACTTGGGGCTGATACTCACATATATTTTTCCTTGTTTCTTACTCTTTAGTTTTCTAAATTTATGCCAACAGTTTAGTTAAGAAACTGTTGGTCTTCAGGCACTGGGATGGTCAGAAATCTAGCCATCCATTTCAGAATTTTGTGAGAAACCTTCTTTTATGCATTTAGTTTCTTGTGATTTCTGTTATTTGAACATACAAACATGGATTTCAGACCTGAAACACTAGGGTTGTTGAGTATAAAAAGATTACTATCAAAGTTAGGCCAAGGACTTCTTAGGAAGTATCCCTACTTTTCCCTATATTCTATCATCTTCCCTTTTGCAATGCCCAAGTCAGGATGACTCCTGTGCCCTGAAAGACCAGATATACATGTATTATCTGTTTAAGTACATATCATAAAACCAACCACAGAAAGACTCACAGACTTTCTCAAGGTCACGCAGATCAAGGCAGAGCCAAACTCATTGAGCTCACCACCACCACCAAGCACAGGAGCTTGGATTTCTTCTCTTCTGAAGACTGCTGAACAGCATCATATGACAATAAGTATGTCAGTACCCATATCTTCAAAAGCATCACCTCACTCTCTGAAACACAATGTTCTCTAGCAAAAAGGCTAGGAATCAAAGCTTGAGGACCCCATGGAGACCTGACAAAGTAGAATTTTTTTCCCCTGCAGACTTGTATGTCTAACACCCCCAGAGTGAGGGATGATGTCAGTTCAAAGTAACTTACCCAAATCTGAAGTTTGATTCTCTTCTCATTTTTGAACACAGTTTTTACTTTGAAATCGATGCCGACCGTGCTGACGAATGCAGATGTAAAGGAGTCATCAGCATAGCGGAACAGGAAAGATGTTTTGCCCACACTGCTATTGCCAATGATCAGCAACTTGAACATGTAGTCGAAGTTCTGGTCAGAAGAGTCTTTCTGACCAAACCTGGCATCTTGTGCAGAGGCCATCTGTGGGGGAAGCGAGTTTGGATCAGTTTCCCATTTGATATGAAGCAGACTCATTATTGCTCTTGCCAGAAACAGATGTCAGAGACTCGGGAAGCAAGGAGACAGCCCTCCCCAATCCCCTCTGATGCTGGTATCCATGGTAATAATTCCCAGCTGGAAAACAGAATAGCAAATCTTACAGCTCTTTCCAGCTGTGTTGGTGCTTGTCACTCTTGAGCATTCACAAGCAATCAAAGGCACCAAAGGCATCATCTCTCAAAGAAACATGAAAAGCAAAGCTATGAGGAATTTGCAGGGCATGAGGGCTCTGAAACTTTGTAATCTCAGTTAGAGGGACTCCAAACTGACTGAACAGGGCTGGCTTCTCTTCCAAAAATGTGATTATTAGTCTTTCCTAGAAAAAATAAATTCTAAGCACGTTTCTATTTCATCTTCTAACTTTGTATCAAATCAGCATCCCAACTTATATGCCAGTGTCCTTAAGACTAAAAAAAATAATAATGATAAATTTGTATGGTTCCAAATGTACCAGGCATTGCTCATTTATTTAGCCTTCATATGAGGGCTAAATATGAGGTAGGTACCTTATATAAACTGGAAATATGAGATAATGCACTCAAGTTTATTCAGACAGAAGTAATAAATGTAGACTTCTAAAACTAGGCAGTTGGTGCTAGGGAACACATACCTGACCTCTGCCCTATTTCCCAGTGACATCCATATAATAAGCACAGTACTCCAATAGGGCATGTGGGAGACATTTCTTGACAGGAGCACGGTGAACCCTAGCTGGTTTCAAGCACTGATTCTGTTACGTACCATCTCTGTGAACTTAGCTTTTTTGATTTTTAATTTTCTTCATTGTATAGTTGTTTTACTCTCTAAGAACATGTACATGAACATAATACATTTTGTGGACTTATTTTAATTGATATGCTACAGTTCCCCCTTTCACATGTAATAAAAGTGATAGGATACAGTACCTACCCAGAATGCTCATGAAAATAATAGGAAACATACGTCTGTAAATTAGATCTGTAACTAGGTAGAGAGTCAAGATTAGTTTGTTGTTAAGTATAAATGCCTTAGGTAGATGTTTATTCTTCCTTGTTTTCTTGATAATTTTACTATCTATAAAAACAGTATTGTATCACTTCTAAGTACCAGTCTGGCTCTGGACAGAAAGGAAGCATTTGCTTCAGCACCTTTCTGACGCTATGAATTATTTGGCAATTGTTCTGTTAGTCAATGTGCTAGCCACAAAGAACATATGGCAATTTAAACCATACTAAAATTAAACAGAATTTAAAATGTAGTTTTTAAAAATCACACTCGCTACATTTCAAGCATGAAAACCCCCACACATACCCAGCAGCCAATGTTATATATTTGGATAGTTATATACAAAACAACAGCCTTCTTGCTTTGAGTTCTGCTGAAAATGCTAGGCTGGGCAGTCTGTCTTCCCATAAAAGCTGGATAATATTCTTTATATCTCCTCTTGAGAAATGCTATGAGTTCAGTATGGCTTGGTGGTCCTACGATGGAAGGTTGGTTTTCCATCTGAGGTGGTAAGAACTTTAAATGGTGGAACCCAGGATGAAACAGGTCACTGTGAACACTATTCTCAGAAGAGAATAATGCAAACTCTCAAGGAACCTTGCTTAATTTCCACAAAAACATGTCTCTACAACAACGACAACAACAACAACAAACTTGGCCTTGAATCTCTCTGGCTTCCTATCTCAATCAGTTATTTCTGACTCTTACATGTATTCACATCATGATGCCATCCTGCATTCTGTGACAGAGCTAGAAGACCATCCCTAGAGGGCCTACAGAGGCTGACACCATGTACTTGAACCTCTAAAATGTGTGCTTGACATGCCCTGTTTCTTTTTAAAGTATCCAGCACCAGGTGTTTTATGGCAGCAACAGAAAATGGAATAATCCTAGAAGAAAGTACAAAAGAAGCTCCAGTAGTGGGTAGACTGTCAAAACAATAAATAGCACTTGGGCTCATCTGAGACACTGAGGATGATGTTAATTGCCTGAAGCCAGGAGAGACAGAGTTGAGGAGGAAGTCACAGCAGAAAGCAGGGAATGAGATACTGAGAGAACATACTACCCTTCTCCACATATTTCCTCTGTGCAGGAGAGTGTAATTATTTGTATAAAAGTAACACAAAGGGAATTTCTGTGTATCACAGAAGTTAAAGGTGACAAAAATTCTGATTGAACTTCATATTCTTTAGACTAATATAGATGTAAGCATTTCTTGTATTTCCAGGTGATCACAACAGCACATCCAGGGAAAGGTGAAAATTTGTAGGGAGTGTTTCCTACTGTGTTAGTCCTGGGCCCATAAACAGACAGCATCACCTTCCTTGCAAGATACCACTGTTAATAAAGTTTTATTGGTTCTAAAAACTGAAGCAATACAGGCATCATGAATATAGAGAGTTTTAAATGTAATTATGAGGATTTAGTTGGGGACATAAGATTTATCTAGGAAATACCAGCTATAAGTTCAAGAGCTAATGTAGTTGTGTGTTGGAAGTGAACCACAGGATGGAAAGGCATTCAGAATGAGAACAGTGGCCCTGGGGGACTGTGCAGATCCAGATGAATTCTCCTGTTGGCAAATATTTGGAAACTTTTTCTTATACTTTTATTTTCTCATTTCTTCCTTCCATCCCTTCCTTTCCTTTCTCCTCCTTTTCTCCTTCTCCTTCTTCCTTCATTTCTTTTGTTTTCCTTTTTTTAAAAAAAGACAGACCGGTATGTTACACAGACTGCAGACTGGCTTCAAACCCCTGGTTTCAAGGGGTCAGTCTTCCTGCCTCAGCTTCCCAAGTGAGGAATTAATTATAAAAAAGTCCAATCCATTTACTTTAAAGATTATTCTTTCTCTCTCTCTCTCTCTCTCTCTCTCTCTCTCTCTCTCACACACACACACACACACACACACACACACACACACACACACGGTTTATATCATCAGTAAAGTATACAAAATCACAAATGTCCACATGAGAATGAGACATCTTTAATCTCTTGCTAAGAACAAAAAATCATTTGCTCAGTCTGCAACTGCATTTGAATGTCACTGGGGCTTAGCCACAATCGCTATGTGAATTTACTGACATTTCTAAATACTAAGCTATGTAGATGTTCTAGAAATTTTAATGGGAGAATAGAACCGAAACTTAAAAATATGGATAGGCAGTAAGTTACCTACTAGACAGCAACTCAGTTTTCATAAAACATAAATTACTAATGCCTCAGATAGCATTGATTTTGACATTTAAAAACAAGAAAGAATCATGGGGTTACAAAGACCCTTCAGCACAGGGCTGTGCACCACCAATGCCATGAGACACTTCTGTGCTCTCTTTACATCTCGAGTAGTGTCCTAACCACACACTGCATGCAGTAGGTCCACTGCTACAATCTGCTGTACTGCAGAACAGTTCCAACACACTGTGAAATTCTTCCTTGTTTTAGGTGGAAACATACCTCCTTATAGCCTCTACCTCAGGGTTTTTAGATGATGCCTTATGGATCAAGAGTCAGTTTCTTTTGCACCTGAGGGAACTTGAGGCACCTAACGAATGAGCATCCATTCTATGTGTTTTTCTTCTTCCTACTTATGGTGGTTTGAATATGCTTGGCCCAGGGAGCAGCACTGTAAGGAGGTATGGCCTTATTGGAGTAGGTATGGTGTTGTTGGAGATATGGCCTTGTTAGAGGTGTGGCCTTGTTGGAGGTGTGGCCTTGTTGGAGGTATGGCCTTGTTAGAGGTGTGGCCTTGTTGGAGGTGTGGCCTTGTTGGAGGTATGGCCTTGTTAGAGGTGGCCTTCTTGGCCACTGTGAAGGTGGGCTTTAAGACTCTCCTTCTAGATCCCAGGAGTCAGTCTTCTCCTAGCAGCCTTAAGATGAAGATGTAGAACTCTTAGCTTCTCCTGGACCATGCCTACCTGGATGCTGCCATACTTTCTGCCATGATAATGGACTGAACCTCTGAACCAGTAAGCCAGCCTCAATTAAACATTGTTCTTACAAAAGTTGCCTTGGTCATGGTGTCTCCTCACAGCAATGGAAACCCTAACTAAGACATGCTTGATAATTTCAGTTCCTTTTGCCCTTCTTCCTACTCCAGGACACGCTTGAAAAATCCCACACATCCTGCTCGATTAAAACTGACAGGTTTCTGCAGATTGTCTGGCTCCCTTGTGTGTCTGGCTCCCAAGATCAGTGGAATGTTCCCAGTCTTTATTTGGTCAGTTCACAGTGCAATGAGAGTATTACATCCTATCCGTCACACATCACAGCAAAGTCTCCTGAAGTGCACTGCACCCTTTTCTGTTACGTTGTTGACTGTTATGATCACTAGTCTCACTATCTTCCCACTGTACTTGGTAATTTACTATCAGTGAACCTTTACATTTAATGTACCCTGCTGTCTTCATTTAAAACTTCAATTATGATCTGATAATTTTAATGCCATTTCATTCAACAAAGGTTACCCCTTTCAGAGTTGGTTATATATCTAAGTTCTATCACTAACATAGTTTAGTAAGACCATAATCAAAAGATGAATCAGTTTGTACACAAAGAACAATGAACTTTTCAACCTACTGAATACACAAACCTTTGGATAAGGCCATCACCGTTCATCGCTATGGAGCACAGAATGCTTGGTGCTCATCTTGTACTCTTAAGAGCTGATGCCTTCACGAGGACACTACACCATCTCCCTAAGGTCCTATGCTTTGATAAAGAATGGATCATGCACTAAACTAAAGTGCTATTATAAATCCCAGTTTTGCATCCCCACAATTCCTACTAACTAGAGACCAAACAAACAACTTCTTATCACCACAAAGAACCACAGCCTAGGTCAAAAGTTTTGAAATTTGAAATCTTAAAACAAATGAGAAAATCAAATTACTTTCAAAGAGTTACCCACATAGTTGTAACCTCTGAACTACCCTAAG